GTTTTCTTTACTATTATGAAAGAGCTTGAAAGATACCTATCCTTATATTTCTTTGCTTTTCTCCTTCCAATTTCTACAGCCACTAATTCTAGGAAAAGTAAGCTTCAAAATTGATGAAGTTTCCTGAATCATTATAGAAAAATTGTATACACATATATAACATATGCATACACACACACACTCACATACAATTAAATCATCACGTGAGTGAGAGAAATGTGAAATGGGGCTGCATTTATTTAAAAAGTTTTCACTCACTTTACTCCAAGCAAATTGTGTCAATGGTTTTTGAATAATAATAACGGCAGCATTACAAATGAAATAGCTACTATTTTGAGCACTGACTATGCACCAGTCGAAGTTCTGAGTATTTTATGTACAGCATTCACTTAATTTTCACAAAAATATGCAAAACATTCTCATCCTCATTTTAAAGACAAGGGCATAAGCAAGGTCCACACAGGTTAAATAACTTGCCTACACTCGCCAAACCTTCATCACCAGGTGAAAAGCCTTGGCTCTTCCTACTGCTCATCAAGAGTCAAAACCTGGGTATAAGATGCAGAGACACTCTATATAAAATGTTCACCACAGTGCCTGGCACCTAGAAGATATTCTAGAAAGATAACTTTTCTTCTTAATGTTGCCTTTTCAAAATATTAAGCAGAAACAGAAATTGAGACATTCGATTTCAGAGTAATTCAAAGAGTTACTTTTTAAAACAATCCTTTTAACCAAAATCACATCAAGAGAGGGGAGAAAAAAGTAAGATGCACTATACTCAGACTGATGACTGATCAAGTTCAATTTTTGGCTTCTACCTGATAAGGGGAGTAGCACAGCAGAGTAGAAATAGCACTGGCTCTCATTCTTCTATTCACTTACCTAAGTGCTAATTGAACATGTAATATGTACCAGGCACCATCTTAGGAGAATGCAACAATAATAAGACATAGTCTCTGACTTCATGGAGATTAAGCAGAAGATGTTGGCAATTATCAAACAATTGTCACACAATGTAAAAATTTCTCTAATAGCTGTAAGGTTGCTCTATATACCAAATACACCACTACGTGTTCATGGACAAGTATCCGACCTTCAGTTTCCCAACCTGCCAAATTCATATTATTATAGTTACTTTTAGTAAATGTCATGATACATAAATTAAATAATCTATGACAAATCCCTGGTAAATAGCAGATATTAAATAAATAATAGCTGGTATAAAGGTACCATATAATCTTTTGTTGCTTTCTAATAATATTAATTGCAAGTATATTAGTGATTAAAGCCATAAATATGTGTAACTTTCTATAAAAATCCATTTTGGAACGATCATTTATAAATTTATTTAAATCTATTTGCGCCTATAAAATAAAATTTAGTAGACCGTCTTGCAGAGGTTACAAAGGAAGGCTTCTTGCTTGCTTCTACCAATTTAGCATCCTTATGAGGATGTTTATTGACTGTGCTATTAAGCATTAGTCTAAAATGCTGATGATCCAAATATGAACAAGCTATAGTGGCTACTCTCAAAGAGCTCAACATCTGGAAAGTATATACAATCAACAATAAGTAAAAGCACATACACTGCGAAAGATACTTTTAACAAAATTAAAATAAATGGTGTAGTTTGGGTATAAAAAATGAGTCAATTCTCCATGGAAAAATCAGGAAATGCTTTCAGAAGAGATCTCATACCAAAAATTAAGCCCAATTTTGTCCTTATATAATTACTTACCATCAGTAATTTCCAAACTACATGTAAATACAGCCAAAGTGAATAAGTTACAGAATACTGTATAATTCAAATGCCAACATACATGAATTTTATATTTACCTTCACAATTAGTTGATAATGTGTTCTGCCTAAGTAACTTCTCCACCATTTTTGAATAATTGTTGCTGCGTTG